AGTCTCTAATTGCTGCCAGCTGAAGAAAAAAAATTTCAATAAGTTGAAGAAACTTTCACAAATAACACTTACCATAATTACAAGGTATAAAGCTCAGTGTGTTGTTTATGTAATGAAGTCCTAACCAACCACAGCATGCACATCTAGTCGAGTGGCGGGCCTCACACAGGTAGACATTAACCTTTGGCTTGACATTGAACTTGCTTAGATTTATTAAAACCTCCTGACTGGTCATTTGGAATGGTTTTTTAAAAAAAACTCTCTTGCAGACGTGCCTCTTTCTTTGGGTGCCATTTAAAGAGCATGTCACAATTAATAAAAACTTCATCTTCAAAAGGTAGAAAACCCTTCATTTTTGCATAGTGTTGTCTATTATGCTGAAATCAAGGGCATTCACTGCTGTTTCTTATTTAATAATGTGCTCTACTGTGAAGAGATACAATATAAAAACTGAGACTCCAAAACAAAAATATTACTTGGCAATCATACCATACAGTTGCCCCATCCAAAGTTCAATAAGGAGGTGGAGTTATTACATACAACTGCCCAAGGATTCAGGTTTTGGTAATCTTGATAGGCGCAGTACTCACTTCTGACTGTGTATCCAACAAAAGGAGTTTAAAAAGAGAATGACTCTATCTTTGCTCAATCTCAGACTCTAGTCATAATTGCTTAATTGCATCATTTCTGGGCCATATTGAAGCAGAATGTAATGGGTGGATGGGGCATTTAAGAGCAGAGCTGCTCACCTCCTGGTGGCTGGGGAGCAGAAAGAGGGCAGGGGATTCTGGGGAAAATATAAACCCTTCAAAAGCATGCCCCAGTGACTTAATGACTTAATTCCTCCTACCAGATGTCACCTCCTCACAGCCTATTCAGCTACAGACTCATCAGCGAATTAGCCTGCATGATCTAGCATGGTTTCCCCTGACTGGGTAGCAGGAGAATTCTGTTAACTAGATGAATTGAGGTAAAAAGATCCACACTGCAAGTGTGCAGCACGAGTCCCCGGGTTTGAGTCCTGGACTGCGGAAGAAGGAAACGGTTAGATGAGCACAGACATTCATTGCTCTCAGTATCTTGAGGACAACTTGACCTGGTCCCTCAATCTCCTGCTGCCAGGATCTCCCTGTTAGAGCAGACTGTGCCCTCCACCAGTCAACCCTCCTGGCTTGCTCTGGCTGCTCGGGTATTATTACAGCAGCAGGAGAATTAACCAAGTTTCCACCCTGACAGGTAACCCCTCCTCCAAAACATCTGAGCCTCCAGGGTCCTTGCTCTTTGAGACTAGAATGTGAGGGGCAGCCCCGGACATCTGCAAATTCCTTAGAGTTAAGCTTCCACACTTCCATATAATGGGGAGAGTTTGACTTACATTAGGATGGCTACTACTTGTTCACTCTTACCAGTATAGATAGGGTAAACAGATCCCAAATACAAGTTCAGATTTTCTTTTGGGCGGGGGGGGGGGGACGAGGAGCAGTGAGCAATTTAGTCTTTTAGGATTTCTTTTTACCAAACACAGAAGGAGCCAAGAGTCCTCAGAAGAGCCACGCAGCCTCTTTACCTCTTCGCTTTGAAATTGTTTCAGCTGAACACTCTTTAGATTGTTTTTCTTATACTGCCTTCCACAAAAAATTAAAACACAGCCAAGGATTCTGCTAGGTTCTTCACCATTTTATAGCAAATATCACTTTTTCCTCCAGTTTCCAGTAATATGCTGTTTCCATCTGGAGACTCCTCAGAATAGCCTTTGCTGCCCATATTTCTATCAGCCGTTCAGGAGTGCTTTAGTATTCTCCCAGGAGATTGACTCTTGGTCTCCAGGTCTCCTGCTGTCTTTCTGAGCCCCACTATAATATCTAAACAGTCCACTCAAAGCAACACATGCTTTCCCTTGCATGTACCCCAACATATATATTCCCTACCCAGTTCTAAGCATCTTCCATGTTTCTAGAATATAGCACCTCTTTCTAGATACATATATTCTAACTCTTCATGCTGTTATGACAATATCGTCCACTGGGTGACTCATGTGCCATACAAATTTATTCCTCATACATTTGTTTTTTTTTTTTTTGTTTGTTTGCGTATGTGGTACATGCATAGGGGGCAAACACGGGTGGGCAGGTGTGCACATTGCTGTGTGATTAAATTGCAGCCCAGAACTGCTAGTCATTCTCTTTCCTTGTTGAACCCCTTGGTTTCTGAGATGAAGTCCCCCACTGAAGCTGTTGCTCAGCAACTGGCTAGGCTGACTGGTGGAGACCCTCAGCATCTTCTTCTCTCCACCTCTCCAGCACTGGGGTTGCAGGTGTATGCTCTTGTGCCCTGCATTTTACACGGATGCTAGGGACCTGAACTTAATGTCTCATGCTTACGAAGGAAACACTTAGTATACATTACGCCATCTTTCCCCAAAGCTCTGGAAGCTGGGAAGTGCAAAATCAATGCATTGGCTAAGGGTCTGCACCATGACTTATACATGTCATCTTTTACCATGTCCTCACCTGGTAGAGGATTACAGATAGTTTCTTAAGTCACGTTTTAAGAGGACTAGTCCTAGGAAAGATAAGAGGGCTGTGTTACCCAATCACCTACCACTACTGCTACCCACCAAATGTCCTCACAGTGGGAATTCTGACTTTGTCTATGACTATGGAGGCCATGTGCATCAAGTTGCTGGCAATACCTTGGAGATGCTATTCAGCTGAGTCTAATTTCAGCAGCAGACACAGAAAGTCCTTGCTGACCTCCTCCACATATCTGTGTTCACTAGCAGTGTATGAGAGAGAGAACACATTCTGAGGCACCTGCCGATTGCTGCAGCTTTGCTGAACAGAGGCACTGGTCTGTGTGGGGAAGTTGACACATGCCTCTTCTAAACCCATTATTTCACTAAGGAACGGAAAATTGAGGAGAGATGTGTGGTGCTGAGGCTGTGGGATGTTGTTTTATTGATATGTTAAATTATAGCCTAGGAATTAGTTAAAATGTTGAAGACAGAGTCTTCTAGGTTTCTGTCTCCTAGGCTTTTTTTCACCACAGAAACCCAATTTTATTTTGTGATGTGGGTGGCTGCTCTGGCATAATTACTTTCCTGGCATGTTTATCTAGACAGACCCTGTAGCCGCCTCTCTTACTGACATGCATGAAAAGTATATTACAACATTAAAGAACTATAAGTGATTTTTTTTTCTTCAAGGCAGAGTTATCATCCTTTCTCAACACAAAACTTGTTCTTTTGCAAGCATTATAATGGTGTTGTTTCTGCCAAGTGTTTTGTCTGAATAGTTGACTAGAGTGATAGGGGTACTGTGGACAGGATATGAGTATTCTCAGGTGGACCAACTCTGTGACCATTTCCATAGTTATTTATTTGATTATGTGTATTCTCTTTCCTGGCTTGGATCTTATATGAACTTGGGATACCAACCAGAAAAGAACGGGTTCTGAGATTTGAAATGGTGACATATCAGAAGGCTTGAGCCTCGTGACAGAAACGTGTTTCCTGATTGTTACAGTGGTACATGGTGAAAAGAAGGAGAAAACGGGAAGAGGAAGGGAAAGAGGTAGTCGGGAGAGGAAAATGGACTGAAGAGTTAGAGGAACCTAAACTTCATTCTCATTGGAAACATTTCTCAGCATCTTCTGTGAGGGCACCAAGAGTTTTGCGCAAAGCTGTGTGAGAGTTCACAGATGTGGCCTTACTGCATGGAGCAGGCCAGGAGGGCATCTCGGTAAGAGATGGAGCATTTGGAAAGAGGCACGTACTGAAAGATGAGGACAGTGAGATGAAGGTCTTTGGCTTATGGTGACAAGAATGAATTGAAAAGTTACTTCTTCCTGCAGGCAGAGCTATTGGGTGGAGAGGTGTGTCGCAGAGAAAGGAATCGGCGTGTTCAAGGGCCTGTGGCAGAGGGCTAATTGAGAGCGCTGAACCAGCTAATTTAGTTCAGTTGGAGAGAAAGGAGAAGCATAGTATGTGGATGACAAAAGGGAGCAATGTCACTCAAAGGGCATGGAAATGATAATTAAATGTTGGATGGTGGCTAAAATTTTGAATTATGTTTGAATGATTTTGCTTTATTTTTTTAATAAAATAAAATTGAATTTTTCTAGCCAATTTTTATAATAGCTAGAGCAATATAGCATGTTTTTTGTTTATCGCATTAAGAGTGGAACGGTTTTTATACTCTACATTTAATTTTAAGGTAAAAGTGGTTGATCTTGACTGGACAATGACTTTTTCTCCTGCTTCCTTTTTCTTTCTTCTGTCAGTACTATCCTCTGTTCTAACAAAGATTCTTCTTTTACTTCAGTAATCACAATTTTCTATTATGTAGAAATTGTAGCTTATTTTGCCTTTTCTTATTTTTTTTCTTACAGCATCTTCCTAAGGCTCTAATTTTCTATTGACTACATCTCGGAAGGGTCTGAACTCTGTCCATTTCCAGTCTTCTCCTGGCTCTCCATCACTAAAAGCTCCTCTGCTTCAGATCCATCCTTCTTGCCAAGTTACTCTAGTGACCTTAACTTCTCTGTGTTTCTAGCGCCCTTTCTTTTCTGACTTTACGGTTCCCATGAAGTCACGGACCTTTTGTGCCTCTCTTGCCCCACCTCCATGTTCCCAAAGACATTCGGACTTGTGTCCTTGGCATTTCTTTTTTCCTCTTGTTCTGCTGTATGCACTGTAGAAAGGGTTGGAATAATACATCTTTTGTCATTTCCAGAATCTCCAAATGCAGTTCTTGCTAATTTAGATGTTATTTTTAACCCTTACTTTACTATCACTCACCTATTAGTAATGTTTTCTTTGCATTGTTAACTACAGAAACATGTTCATCTGTTATTTAAGTTTAGTGACTGTGTTTAATGATGGTGACCTCCCACAAACACCGGATTTGTGTTAATCTTTGGAATTAATGGAGCATTTTTAGTGATTCTGAAGTAGAACAAAGGCGTTGTTTGTATATTGATTGGCTGTTTGATTTCTATAGGATACCTTTGTTTCTGGGATTTTGTGGTCAATAAAAAGCACTGAAGTTACTCTGGACCCAGTACCCAGCCTCCTCCTCCAAAAAGATGAAAAGATGCATAACCAGTTCTTTGGAAAGGTTAGAGAATGAAGAATGGGCAAGTTTTGTTTTTTTTTTTTACAGTTACAGATAAACATATGTTCCTCAATTTATAATGAAGTTATATATATGTAAATTCACTGTTGAACAATATGTAGTGGAGTGTACATTCACACCTAGCTCACTGAGCATCCTGGCTCAACAGCATGGTCTGCACTCCGCCTTTACAATCTCCCTGGTGTGACTAGGTAGCTTGTTATCACTGCCCAGCATGCCTAGAGCCTTTCATATGCCACAATACTCAAGGAAGAGAGACAATTTCAAACATAGAGGCACTATTACCATTGAATGTGCTTTTTCTCCTTACCACCATGAGGCAGATGAACTCGTAGGGGACTCTACGGTGGGTTGGGGATGGTCTGTAGTTCTGTAAGTAGTTCTCATGTTTGGTGAGGAGTCCTTTTGGCTCTTTATTTGCTTTCTTCATGTTGAACAAGTACAAAATTGACTCTTTGCTTCTCGGCATGTTTGGTGTGAATGTTTGGTGTGTTTTCAGCTTGGTTCCATGTTTTCTTGTGTCTCAGGAATTGTCCATAATTTCTATCACAGTATAACTGTTCCTTTCTTTTCCAGTATTACTTGTTGGACATCCAGTTTATACAAGTGTGAGTGCCTGTGTGCATGCACACGTCTGCGGTGTGTCCCGGCCTGCCATTTCTTTCACCAGTACACATCTGTAAATGCTTAAATGAGGAAGTTGTATTTTGTCCTCCGCCTCCATCTTAGACCTCACTCGGTCTCTTAAAATAAGTATTCATGATAAGAAAAATGGCTTTCTGACATAGTCTTGTCATCCCATAACCCATTTTATAAAATTCTAAAAAATTGAGTTCTTCTTTAAGTATTGGAATTTATAGCATTATAGAATTGTATTTATTAAGGAATACATCATTATAATCCCCATTACTTCTCATTCAGTAGTTAAGAGTCCATTTTGTCTCAGCTATTATCTTTCTCACATTATCCTCAAATTGGTGATGATTATTCTCTAGTTGATACATTAGTTTATATTTAGTGAAGTTCTAAATTATTCTACTGGGTTTCATGAAATAAATGAGCTAATTTTAGATACATTATACATTATGTAGATGACCCCAGCATAAATGACAAAGGCGATGTTTAGTATTGTTTCATCTTCGTCGCTGAAAGAGCAGAGTACTCACCATATTTAAGTACAAAAAACCAAACATTATGTTTATTCTAACAAAAAATTTAAAGTGTTATATTAATGTAGGTTTTTAAAAATAGGAATTCTTCTTTTGTGGCTTTCTCTGCCCATCCTTCTATTAAAATAAGGGATTATATTTTAAAAGCCAATTCAAATGTCTGAGGGACTGTAGAAAAGATGTGTTTAGCAGTTTAAAAACAGGATAATGTTTATTGCTTAAATCAAATTTAACTCACATTTTTAGTTTTTTATTGCTTATTTAATAAAATGTTATTTTATAAATTATTTTGGTGTTAAAGAAAACCTTTACATATTTGTCTCTCAAATTGTCAAGTCGCTTTTCTGATCTATTGAGAGTTAAAAGTAAAGGAATTAAACCACCAGATCTTCTGAAACCCTTTCAAATCCAAACTCATGGATTATCATAAACTTTAATAGGTGCCGTACAACTTGGCATGCAATCCGTTACTACTGCTTACCACCGCCACCGCATATTGGCTGGGTGGCCTATGTTTTGTGTGGTCCTTTGGTTGGAGCTGTAAGTGTTATTTAAGAGAATATCTTTGGCCCTTTGCAGATGACATAGAAATAGACATCGTGGAAAAGACAGGAGTCGAAGTCACTGCAGATTCAGTCTTGCCTCATGTCCAAAGACAAACCCTCTCAGTCTCACATAGCTTGCCTTTAGACATGTTGAACTTTGACCTCTGTGTGGCTTTCTGTACTTTAGAGAGCTTTCCTGCTATTTCATGGACCTTGGTAATTAGCACAATTCCAGACTAAAGAAAACGGTAAATCATTGTTTTGTTTTAAAGGGAAGAATGATGGATATTTATTGTTATTTATTAGAGTGTTTAGCTATCAACCATATTAAAGTATTTCTTTAACAGTTGTATTTTCCCACATCTTTTTACTAACATGCATATCATAAGCTACCACAGTGTTGTTTCGAATCCTTATACATTGTCTTCTGCTCTGTTCAAATAATATGTTTTGCTTCTGCTTAGCCAATAGCAAGAAATTTCTTGTTATTCTTTTTTTGCTTTCTTTTTAAAATTATTATTATTATTATTAAAAATTTTCCCCTCCTCCCCTCCTCCCATTTCCCTCCCCCTCCCTTCATTCCCCCTCCCCCTCTTTCTCCAGTCCAAAGAACAGTCAGGGTTCCCTACCCTGTGGGAAGTCCAAGGTCCTCCCCCCCCCCAATGCAGAGAGAAGTGAGAAGGATGGGGAGAGCTTGGGGGAATGGGATGGTTGGGATGGAGGAAGAGTGGATATGGGATCAGGAAAGTATAGATCTTAATTAAGGGGCCATTTTAGGGTTGGCAGGAGACTGGACTCTAGAGGGATTCCCAGGTGTCCAAGGAGATGTCCCCAGCTTGTTCCATGAGCAGCTGAGGAGAGGGTACCCGAACTGGCCCTATCCTGTAGCCACACTGATCAATATCTTGCATATCACCATAGAATCCTCATCTGATGATGGATGGAGATAGAGACAGAGACCCACACTGGAGCACTTGTTATTCTTTTAAACAAATCTATCTTGTGTCTTTCTTCAAATATAGACTTTGAGTAGCCTGATGTAGGGGACTAGCGTGGGGAAGAAGAGAGCCAGCCTGGTGGAGGAAGGGGTATGCAGGAGGATGAGAACAAAAACTGTGGAGGCGGGGACCAACGAGAATGAAGCATAACTCACGCAAGCAGAGATCATGCAGAAACCCGTTACTTCATGTAATATCCTAAAACATGTAAAAGCCATGTACTTTATTCCTTCTATATATCATATTGTTTGATAAAAGTAATATATGGTAGGAAAATGACAAGAAATCGTCACCTCACGTTGAAAATGATTGCATATGGGGTTATTTCCGCAGTGTTGTATATGGAGGACAAGCAGAGCAAGCTCCGACCTTCCTTTCTCTCGTAACAATTAGACAAGTCACCTCGCCCGTTTCCTAAGCTGCGAAGTCTGGTTTTACAATATGTAGCAGCCTGGATAGGCAAAGTGTGGTCTCTGCTCAGACAGCATCGGAGTCAGTCTTCAGTAGGATTGCTCTCATGTCCTTTGCAGGAAAGGGGGTAGCTGTAGATCTTGACGGTAGGTGGAATGAGGAGACTCTAAACCACAGGTATCATGTTTCCTTCTGTGTATGGGATCTAGCGACAGGAGAGACAGGGAGGCAGGGAGACTGTTAGGGAGCAGAAAGCAGATTAGAGAGGAAGGATCTAGGAGATAGTAATGGAAGGGATTGCAATCGGAGGAAGCCTGTACAGCCATGAAAATGTCACAAAGAGACCAATTGTTTTGTTTACATACACTAGTTAAAAATAAAAAAATGGGGTAAACTCCATGTAGGCTTCATACCTGTTAGGAATAGCCTGGGTTTTTTTTTTTTTTTTTTTTTTTTTTTTTTTTTTCTTGCGATGGCTTATGTGTTTGTGACTTACTGGCTCTTCAAACAGCGTGACCTGAGCAGGGCACATCCCAGCACAAGCTCTCTTTTCATCGCTTTATGTCCTGGAAATCAACAGTTCATTTTGTTAGGGGAATATAACTCTAGAAGACGGTTGCAAGCGACCTAGCAGGTTACTGCTGACCTTGAGATGGCCGCTGCTGACCTTGAGAAGGCCGCTCTTTCCAGTGAAGTCCCATGATGGTTGCTATCTGTTGTTGCTTTCATAGCTGACTGTCCAGTGTGTGGTAGTCTCTCTCATTCTTCTCATCGGAAATGTTTATAATCAAGATGGACACTTTCTTTCTTGTAATTATTATTGCTCTGCTAGATTTTAATTATTTATAGCCGTCAGGCATTTATTGTTTTTTTTAAAGACCTTCCAATCCCAATCAGAATGAATAAACAATTAAAAGGAAGAAAGATTTTGCAGCCCGTCTTTTCCTTTTGATTGTGTGTGTTCTATATAACACTTAAATTATTCTTTATGAAATTAGTATATCCAGGAAACTGGAGAATTATGCTTTCGGCTGAGAGAATGGAAAACATGTTAGCGTTTCCTTTGTAGGGTTTCCAGGGCGCCACAGAGAGTTCTAGTGTGCGGCTCTCTGTGTTCTGCCCAGATCTTTTTCAGCTTATTCTAATGCTGGAGCAATAATTAAATGCTGCTTAGTCTTTCCTGTGTCCTACACCTCACTGCAAACATGTCGGCAGAGAAAGCAGACGTTCGTAATTTCTCAATATAAAACAGATCCTGCCAGGGAGCCTGCCAAACCCCACCAACCGTGACAGTCAAATCAATGCATGTTTTGGTTTAAATTTTTATTTTTGCCTTTGCTCTGTTTTCTGGGCTCTGGTGTCTGTTGTCCCCCATGGCTTATCACCTTGTGGCCTGCCAGTGTCTGACGCTGACAAGACTTCCTGCCTACCTTTGTGATGTATGTGCATGACCATATGACTGTAACCGAAAATGACATCTTGACTCAGTAAATATTTGCTTTAGGTCCACTACATCTGTTTTACAGACTCCTTTTCCTTTCCGTTCCTTTATCGTTTTGTAAAACATATGTACTTTTAGCTTTTGTCTAGAAGCTGCAAATCCTTCACTCTTGTGTATTACAGCTCCTCGGCTAGGGATCTATTACTGACCATGGGGATTTAGTTCTCTCATTTGCAGTCATACTGCACAATGTGACGACCTTGGTAAACTGTGTAGGATGGTGATGGAGCTGTGAATCTGGGTTATACCACATAGTGAATTTGCTGATGTGGATGATTAAAAAGAGCAGTTATATTGGGTATTGTTTTATATATGTACACATACACAAAACTACGGGTCTACCCAGGTTCACACCTAT